AGAATAGAATAGAATAGAATAGAATAGAATAGAATAGAATAGAATAGGAGAAGGGAAGGGAAGGGAAGGGAAGGGAAAAGAGGAGAGGAGGCAAGGGAAGGGGAGGGAAGAGAAGAGAAGAGAAGGGAAGGGAAGGGAAGGGAAGGGAAGGGAAGGGAAGGGAAGGGAAGAGATGGAATAGAATAGAATAGAATAGAATAGAATAGAATGGAATGGAATGGAATGGAATGGAATGGAACGGAACGGAAGGGAAGGGAAGGGAAGGGAAGGGAAGGGAAGAGAAGAGAAGAGAAGAGAAGAGAAGAGAAGAGAAGAGAAGAGAAGAGAAGAGCTTTATTGTCACTTTGAATATACAAAATATAAATGAAATTTTGTTGCATACAGCTCTCGAAGTGTCACCACCTCCAGTATACACTACATAACCATGACACACTAAATGAATAAATAAATAAATAAGTGCAAAGTTACGTATAAACCCACAAATATTATTATTTGACACAGAGAAACAACACAGCCTAGTTTGGATATATTAATGTACATGGTGAGAAAAACAAATCCCGCAAGTTTGCCAGATGGATAGTATAGGGACAAAGCTGTTCCAGAATCTGGAAGTCCTGCTAAAAATACTTCAAAACCCCCTCCCAGGGAGAAGCAACAGAAACAGACCGTGGAGTGGTTGTGGGGGGTCTCTCACAATGCTTCAAGCTCTAAACACCGAGCGCTTACGAGCAATGTCCTGAATCATAGGGAGCAAACTTTCTATAATCCATCTCCACTGTCCTCTCCACTCTCTGTAGGGGCTTTCTATCTGAGGCACTGCTGCCACCAAGCCAAACCAGATATGCTGCCCTCATCTGACGCAGGAAATGCAGATGCCGGTTTGCGCTCTTTACTAAGGATGACGTGTGGAGAGACCAATTCAGACGATCAGATTTCTTCTCTCCTCTATGGAAAAGTTTTTGTGGCATGGAAAACATGAGGCACTGCCTGGTGAAAAATCAGGCTGAACAAGGCGCTCGGTGCCTGGATTAAGAGAGGGTCGCAAGGGAAGTCGGAGCTGAAGGGGCCTGGAGGACCCATAGGAGGAAGCACAACCATGGAGAGACACGGTTGCCTTCTGCAAAACGCAGCACAGTGACCTGTTTTAAGGTCAAAAAGTCCAAGATGGCGGTGACAGTGGGGTTGGTTGAAATGATTTATATTAAAGAACAGGTGATTGTTTTGATCAGACTTCAGGGTATCCTCGACCTGCAACCACAATTGAGTTCAAAACTTCTGTTGCAAAGTGAGACATTTGTTAAATGAATTTAGAGAGCTGTGAAAATATTTACAGAGCCCTCACATCCGGGACATAAACTGTTTCAACTCCTACTGCCAAACAACGCTATAGGGCACTGCACAAGAGAACAGCTAGATCAGGGGTCTCCAACCTTGGCCAGGAGACTTGTGGACTTCAGCTCCCAGAATTCTCCAGCCCACAAGTCTTAAAGTGGCCAAGGTTGGAGACCTCTACTATATAATATTAACAAATCTAATTTATTATAATATATATTTTAATATATAACAAAGTATATTCGTACAGGGAAAAATAATGCATGCAGGGAAGAACTAACTCTGCAATCATCCCCAAGGATTGCAGATTCCTGGTTTCTTTGTAAATGCAGCTAGTCCTTATGGCTTAGTGCAGAGGTCTCCAACTGTGGCAACTTTAAGACTTGTGGACTTGAGCTATGCTGTCTGGAGAATTCTGGGAGCTGAAGTTGAAGTTGAAGTTGCCAAGGTTGGAGACCTGAACTAGACATAAGAACAATTTTCCCAGAAAGCCATCACTCTGTTAAACAAAAAATCCCCTAACTATTTACAAAGTCTGCACTACTATTACTATTAATATTCTCATCACTCCTTACCACTCATCCCCTCCCACTTGTGACTATATGAGTATAACTTTGTCGCTTGTATCCTTACGACTTTTATTCACTGTTTCCTAGTATGATTTGATGGCTTATTGTACCCCATGACTATCATTAAGTGTTGCACCTGATGATTCTTGACAAATGTCTCTTTTCTTTTATGTACACTGAGAGCATTTGCACCAAGACAAATTCCTTGTGTGTCCAATCACACTTGGCCAATAAAGAATTCTATTACGACCTTTCTTGCTAAGTGAATCACTGCACTTGTTAAGCTAGTAACCTGGTTGTAAAGCGAATCTGGCTTCCCCATTGACTTCGCTCATCAGAAGGTCACAAAAGGGGATCACTTGACCCCCTGGGACAGTGCAACCGTCATAAATATGAGCCGGTTGCCAAGTGCTTGAATTTCAATCACGTAACCATGGGGATGCTGCAACGGTCGTGTGAAAAACAGTCGTAAAGTTGCCAAGTTTGAGGGTCCCTGTGCTACCAGATGCCATGCTGGTTTTCTTTGCACAAGCCCCCTCCTCAAACCACGTCTTTCTCCCTGCAAAACCGCTTCCCACTGACTCGAGCTTGCCCCAATTCCTACATAACGCCAAGCCCTCGTTCGCTCTTGCGTCGTTTCTGCTTTTGCACTGGGTGAAAACAGTCACGGCAGCTGAGCGTTACAACCAACCAGGTTCTTTGCACTTCAGTCATCAACAGTGAGGGACATTTAACCACTTTTGGGGACGAAGTCATAATTTCAAAAGATCAGAAAACTGTGCTGGGGAGGTAAGACCCTGGGGAGTGTTCTCAACCTTGGTCACTGTAAGACGCCCGGACTTCCAACTCCCAGAATTCCCCAGCCAGCTTTGCTTGAAGTAGCTAAGGTTGTGCAGTGGTGACAGGCAGACAGATGTTTGCATCTCTGCATGCATGTGTGCATCTCTGCATGTGCCAGGCCTTTGAGCAACCCAAGAGGGGAAGCCAAGGCATGCTACGATATCATCTGCCTAAAACCTATTCAGTCTGACAACAGTTACGAAAGCAGCCATGAAATCCAGTTTGGTTCCATCAACTGGTGGGTTTGCTAAAATTCAGGTCTTTAATGGAAGAGAAGGTGAATGAGGCTACCTGTTTTCCCCCACCCCCCACCTCTCATGCACACACAGGGTGGCAGGGAGAGAGGGAGAGAATGAGAGAGGGGGAGGGGAGGGAGAGGGGGAGGGTGGGAGAGAGAATGAGAGAGAGAGGGAAGGGAGGGGGAGAGAATGAGGGGGAGAAGAGAGAGGGGAGAGAGAGAGAGGGAGAGAATGAGAGGGG